ATTCATTTTTTAAAAACAACAACTAACAAATAAAAATAAACAAATCAAGATAACCACCAATTAAAATTATCTCAACTCATTAAATAGAGATATGCTTAACACTTAACTCAATATTCAATCAAATTATGAATAAAAAAGAATTAAAAAAACTTGTCATAAAATTACATCAAATTCCATAAATAAATAAAGAGATAAGATAAAGTTGAATATCGCAAATCTTAATCGAAGCTCGATTAGAACACCCACCAATTTTTCATAGGTTGTTTGTAATGATATATGTATTTGTGTTGATACGAAAATAATGGGTAAGGAAGAAAAGATGTGAATGTGTTGGTGAATTTTTAAAAAGAAAATAAAATAAAATAGGAAGGTTTTTTCTTCTTTTGGTTTGCTTGTCCCTTTCTTCTGTTTTTTTCTTTGCTGATCCTTTTTATGTAGTATGTTGTGTGTGCGTCTGTGTGTTGTAGTTTAGGTGTAGTACGTATGGTGGGGGTGTGTGGGTAGTGGAGGAAAGTGTAAGTGGGTAATGGGGTAAGTGTAGGTGGGTTGGGGTAGTGGGGTAGTTTAGGCTAATATAATATAATATAATATATTATAAGAATATTATTTAATTATTTTAAAACTAACAAAAATAAATTATAAATAAGAAATATTAGCTTATTTATTAAACCAAAATAAAAATAAAACATATATTTTTGTTATTTTCAAATTTTAAAAAAAAATAAACTTACTAAAATAAGACAAAATCAAAATATCTAATTTAAACATAAAAGAAATATTTAAGGAATAAAAAATAGTGTAAGACTTTTTTTTCGGTCAAAAATTACGTGTCTACAGTTTGCCCCTCTTTGACTGGAAACACGAAGAGTTTTCAGACAAAGAAGTAGACAAAGCGACAAGTTTTGACCAGACTCTTATTTGAAAGAAAAATATGCGACTGAGTCCTTGGTTTGGACAGCCTACATATCCTAGGTTATAAGGAAATCAAGTCACATGTAGTTCAAGGAGATAGGGCGATGAGTTGAAAGTTAAGTGAGGTTCCATTGAAGCTCCAGATCGCGGTTCTTATCCTTAATTACAAAAAAATGAAAATTAATAGTCAAAAGGAAAATAAAAGTACAAACTCCTATCTATGCAGCTTCTCTTGAGTTTTGACTTTCAGATATCACCTTGATTTTTGGGTGAGTATCTTGATCTTGAATTGGATTGAGGCTTAACTTGCCGCTTAGAGTGAGCTTTTGACACTCTTCAAACTGACAATTTGAAAATGTTCTTGAATGACTGCATATTTTCTTGATCAGAAGGTTGAATAGAAACGCATGTTTTCTTGATCAGAAGGTTGAATAGAAATAGATGTCAGGAAGTCAGGTTGCTACATGCATTTAAGAACTGATTCTGGCTATCATGGGATTGATCACTCTAAAAAAGAGTTGAAACTTTGTTCTTGAATTTCAAATTCATATTTCACTTGAAGAAGCCTAAAAACCATCACAAACAAAAGAAATAAAAAAAAATTTGCCCCAGTTTTCACTGAAAAAATTTGTGAGTTATTAGCAGTTGTAAATTTTCAAAAATAAAACCAGACTAGGAAGTGTTTATCCTAGGAGAAAATAAAATGTAAACCTAGGAGAAAATAAAAATAACGTCTCAGACTAGGAAGTGTTTATCCTAGGAGAAAATAAAAAAACGTCTAAGACTAGGAGGTGTTTAAAGTAAGAGAAAATAAATAAATAAAAATAGCAGTCTCAGACTAGGAAGTGTTTATCCCAGCAGAAAATGAAAAATAATAATCTCAGACTAAGAAGTGTTTATCCTAGAAGAAAAATAAAAAATAACGATCTCAGACTAGGAAGTGTTTATCCTAGGAGAAAATGAAAAATAGTTGTCTCAGAAGTGTTTATCCTAGGAGAAAATGAAATATAACGTGTCAGACTAGGAAGTGTTTATCCGAGGAGAACATAAAAAATAACAATCTCAGACTAGGAAGTGTTTATCCTAGGAGAAAATAAAAAATAATGGTCTCAGAGTAGGAAGTGTTTATCCTAGGAGAAAATAAAAAATAATGGTCTCAGAGTAGGAAGTGTTTATCCTAGGAGAAAATAAAAAATAATGGTCTCAGAGTAGGAAGTGTTTATCCTAGGAGAAAATAAAAAATAATGGTCTCAGAGTAGGAAGTGTTTATCCTAGGAGAAAATAAAAAAATAACGGTCTCAGACTAAGAAGTGTTTTGTCCTAGGAGAAAATGGAAATTAACGTCTCAGACTAGGAAGTGTTTATCCTAGGAGAAAATAAAAAATAACAATCTCAGACTAGGAAGCGTTTACCCCAGGAGTAAATAAAAAATAACGGTCTCAAACTAGAAAATGTTTATCCTAGGAGAAAATAAAAAATAAAGTCTCAGACTAGGAAGTGTTTATCTAGGAGAGAATAAAATAAAATAAAAACGTCTCAGACTAGGAAGTATTTATCCTAGGAGAAAATAAAATATAAC